TATAATAAAGGTAGCCACTGTCTGTGCAGGACTTTAAGTTCATCATTTTGTGTTGGCTTTTATACTTTTCACATATATAAATAGTTTATGCTTTGAAGACTGGTGCTGTCACGACTGTAGTCCTTGCTACTTTAGGAGGCTGAAATCTGAGGATCAATGTTCACAGCCAGCCAGGCAAGAACTCTGTGAGACTGTTATCCAACTATCAAAAAGCCAGAAATGAAGCTGTGGGTCAGATCAGTAGACCGTTGTCCTTGAGCATAAAACTCCATGGAGTATGCCCTAGGAATGGTGTGCGAGCACACACACACATTTAAGCTTTGAAATTGTCATAACTGGGATACTGTACATATTGGGGGAGGTATCATTTTCTGTTTTCCATTATATGAATATACCTCAATTGATCCATTGTCTTGGTAAAAATTAGTATACTTTCCATTTTTTCCTATTATGGGATCCCACATCCTTTATTTACATTTCTAAAATCCAAAAAGCTCTGAAAATGGAGACATTTAACATTTCAGCAGACTTGGCTGAAATTGCCTTGTATTAGTCTACTTTGTTCTCTTGGTCCCTTCCTCTCTGTCCCTTCTTGCCTTCTTGTTTTCTTCCCTCCTTTGTAGTGACAGATATCAAGCACAGGGTCTTAGTCATGATAAGTAAGCACTCTACCCACCAATAAGTAACATTCCTGCACTATTTTGTAATCTGAATCAAGCCTCTTTTTCTTCCCTTTTCCTTTGCCCTTTGTGCTCCTGAGGATCTCAAGTACAGTGCCAAATAGATATCTGTGTTGGGGGCATCCTTGAGGTTGCTCCTGATTTTAAAGTGAATACTTTCAGGCTTGTTTAGTTCAGTCTGAATTCTTGCTGTTGGTTTGTTTTGTATAGATTCTTCATGTTTAGGATATTTCTTTGCTAATTTAAAGAATGAGAAATCCGGGCACTGGTGGCTCATGCCTATAATCCTAGCTACTCAGGAGGCTAGATATGAGGATCACAGTTCAAAGCCAGCCTGGGAATATGACTCTTATCTCCAATTAACCAACAGAAAACCAGAAGTAATGTGGCTCAAGTGGTAGAGCACTAGCCTTGAGCTGAAGAGTTCAGGACAATGCCCAGGCCCAGAGTTAAAGCCCCTTGTCCGCCAAAAAAAAAAATGAGTGGAGAGCTAGGAGCATGTCTCAAGTGATAAGAACACCTGCAGAGCAAATAATAAGGCCCTAAATTCAAACCCCAGATTGCCCTGAGAACCAAAAAAGAATGGGGATATATGTACATACTTACACATATATGCCTATGAATATAAATATGTATGTAAAATTTTATTTTGACAGGGTTTGAACTCAGGGTTTTATGCTTGCTAGACAGGTGATGTACCTCTTGAGTCATACCTCCAGTCCTTTTTCTCAGGTTATTTTTGAAATATGGTTGGTTTTTTGCCTACGCCAGCCTAGAATTTGATTCTCCTATTTATACATCTCAATACAGCTTGGATGATAGCTGTACCCTGCTATACCTAATATATGTTCAGATGGTATCACAAAATTTTTTGCCTGGGCTGGCTTTGCACCAACATCTTTCCAGTCTCCTGGATCTTTCAAGTAGCTAGATTACAGATATGAGACACCAATACCCAGCTATGAATTATGTCAAAAGCTTTTCTGCATCATTGAAAATATCCTGTGTTTTTCCTCTAATCTGTGAAGCTGGCAATATATTATTGAACATGCCTCTGTTCCTTGTAATCTATTAACATAGTCAATGAATTGATTTTCTAACACTTAAAACTTAGTGTTCCAAGTATAAATTCTATCCTGATCTATCTCTTTTCATTATTAGACTTAATTTGGATTTTTGTCTCATAAGGAATAATAATAATAATAATGCTAGTACCTTTTTAAAATATACCTCTTCTGGAAGAGCTTATGTGGTATTAGAATGATTTATTTATTTATTTATTTAATTTATTTATTTTGGGTCTGGTCATTGGGCTTGAACTCTGGGCCTGGGCGCTGTCCCTCAGCTCTTCAGCTCAAGGCTAGCGCTCTACCACTTGAGCAACAGCGCCACTTCTGGCTTTTTTCTTTTTGCTTATGTGGTGCTGAGAAATTGAACCCAGGGCCTCAGGCATGCAAGGCAAGTGCTCTACCACTGAGCCATCTTCCCAGCCCTAGAATGATGTATTTCTTAAATGTTTACTAGGACTTGTAAAATTGTTACTGGTATTTTCTTTGATGGACATTTAACTGATTCTGTTACTTTGATTATAGGATGGTTAATATTTTCAATTTTCAAACCGGTTTTAGTAGGCCATACTTTCATAGAAATTTATTTTTCCATAGTCTTTGAGAGTGTGGCATAAGTTCTTAATGTCTAATATGCCAAAAGATTACTAATAGTTAAGTCTACAGAGAATGTATGCTTTTTGGTGTTTTCCCATTTCATTAATATCAGTCATTTCATATGCTTCCTCTTTGGGGATTTTTTTTTTTTTTTTTTGGTGGGGCTTGAACTCTGGGCCTGGGCTTTGTCCCTCAGCTCCAGCTTAAGGCAAGTGCTCTACTACTTCATCCACAGAGCCACTTCGGGGTTTTCTGGTGGTTAATTGGAGATAAGAATGTCACGGATTTTGCTGCCTGTATTGGCTTTGAACCTTGATCCTCAGATCTCAGCCGCCTGAGTAGCTAGTATTAACAGGTATGAGCCCTTCTTTTGGGATTTTAAAAAATTTCTGACATTGAATGCCTTTTATATACTGTAGCATAGGCATTTAAGATCATAAATGCCTTTGTCTGCTTTTCTTTTTTTTTTTTCTGCTTATGTGGTGCTGAGGAATCTAACCCAGGGCCTCATGCATGCAAGGCAAGCACTCTACCACTGAGCCAACTTCCCAGCCCTTTGCCTGCTTTTCTTGCATTACACAAGTTTAAAGTATAATGATTTCATTATTTAAAAAAAAAATTTTTTTGTCAGTCTTGGGGCTTGAACTCTGGGCTTGGGCACTGTCCTTGCGGTCTTCAGCTCAAGGTGACCACACCACCACTTAAGCCACAGAGCCACTTCCGGTTTTCTAGTGGTTTATTGGAGATAAGAGTCTCAAGGACTTTCCTGCCCGGGCTGGCTTTGAACCGAGATCCTCAGATCTCAGTCTCTTGAGTAGTTAGGATTACAGGCGTGAGCCACTGACGCATGGCTTCTAATTTTGTTTTCTACTGTAGATTCTTTCATTTATGAGTTAAAGATTTTATTTCCCAAACATTGGAATTTCTGTAGTTAATTTTGCTTGTGTTGTGGTTAGGCAGCATAGTTTGCATAATGAATGTGTGGCTTGTGATTTTTCTTCCCTTATGATGCTAGGGTTCAGACCACTGGTAAGCAGGTGCTCTGCCATTGAGAACTCTTTATTTTGTAGCTAAATCTGGCCTTAAGTTTGAGACAAGATCCCTCTTGCCCCAGATTCTCAATTCTAGGATTACAGACAGGCATATAGCATCACTTCTGGTACATGTATGGTCAATTTCTGTCTACTTTTGTTTTCCCTTAAGAGAATATGTAGCTTCCCTTGTTACTGATGTAAACTTTCAAATATGTCTAGTAATTGAGTTTGATGGAAACATTGTTTATGTCTCATATCTGTTTTTCTTAAAAGAGCAGAGACATGTTCACCTTTGGAATTTCTATTTTTAAAGATACACTTTTAAATTATTAGTTCATGAGAGTTTAAATCTGTTTTGTTGCAACTTCTAAGTGCTGTTTGTATTAAATACCACTGTTTGATCTTATTTAAATCAAACATTTTTGTAGTTTTAATCCTTATTAAAGAGTTAAAAAATGGGCTAGGAAGGTGGTTCAGTGGTAGAGCGCTTGCTTTGCATGCCTGAGGCCCTGAGTTCGATTCCTCAGCACCACATGAGCAAAAGGAAGAAAGCCGGAAGTGGCGCTGTGGCTGAAGTGGTAGAGTGCTGGCCTTGAGCTGAAGAGCTGAGGGACAGCGCCCAGGCCCAGAGTTCAGGCCCCACTACTGGACCCCCCCCCCAAAAAAAAAAAAAGAAAAAGCCAGAAGTGGTGCTGTGGCTCAAGTGGTTGAGCTGAAGAGCTGAGAGACAGTGCCCAGGCCCAGAGTTCAGGCCCCACGACCACCACCACCAACAACAACAAAAAGAGTTAAAAAATTTAGAAAGGTGCAGATGGTTCAAACCTGTAATCCTAGCTACACATGAGGCTGAGATTGAGGATCACCTTTCGAAGCCAGCCCCAAGCAGGAAAGTTTGTGAGACTCTTCTCTTAAATTAACCAACAAAAAGGCAGAAGTGGAGCTGTGGCTTAAGTGGTTTAGAGCCAATTTTGAACAAAAAAATTAAGGGACAGTATCTAGGCTCTGGCAAGAAAACAAAAACAAAACAACTCAAAGCTGTATGGATATAAGAATGATATTTAGCTGGTTTCTAGTGGCTCATGACAGTAATCCTAGCTACTCAGGAGGGCGAGATCTGAGGATCATGATTTGGAAACTATCCTTGAAGAAATTTTGTATGGCTCTTAACTCCAATTAACTACCCAAAAACTGGAAGTGGAGGTATGGCTAAAGGGTAAAGCACCCAGCTTTGAGCAAAACAGGTGAGCTAGAGCTTGAGGCTCTGAGTCAAACCATAAATAGCAATGGTATGGGAACACACACACACACAAAATTTCGGATCATACAATGTGAAGCTTTTTAGGTACTACCTTTTTCATTCAGCATAATTGGAAAAGTCATGTGGATTATTTATAAACGTGCCTTTTTATTGTTCAGTGTGTAGTATGAGTAGTGTGTTTAACCATTCACCTCTTGAAGGACATCTGGGTTGTTAATAGTTTGGGGCTAATATGTTAACAGTCCTATAAACACTGTGTATAGGTTTTTTTATGAGTGAAATGTTTTTTTTTCTTCTGGGATAAATACTCAGTAGTGCTTATTGTATATGCAACTTTTAAAGAACTTGCTGAACTCTTTTCCAGAGTTGCTGTACCATTGTACATCCCTACCAACAAGGTATGAAGTGATCCAGTTTCTCTGCATCCTTGCCAGCATTTGGTGTTAACACTGTTTTTCCTTTTAGCCATTCTGGTAGGTATCTAGTGATATCTTGGTTTCCTGATGGCTAGTGTTGTTAAACATTTTCATGTGCTTATTTGCCATCTGTATATTTCCATTGATGAGATGTAGATGTGTCCATGTCTTTTATCTTTTTTGGGGGGCGGGGGTTAGAATATTTTCCTTTGGCTATTGAGTTTTAGTATTTATATTTAGTATTTATTCTAGACACTATTGTTTTGTTAGATACATAGTTTGTAAATATTTTCTCCAAACCTGTTGACTTCTCTTCTGTTTCATTCTCTTAAAGGGATCTTTTACAGACATTGTTTTAATTTTAATAGTCTACTATACTTATTTTTTTTCCTAAATCTTGCTTGTGTCAAATCTAGGAACTTTTACTCCTGCCTAGATTCTGAAGATTTTTCTGATTTTTAAAAATAGTTATATGATTTAATTTTTACATTTGTCTGTGATCCTTATGTAGAACATGTCAGATTTATATGGAAGTTCATTTTTAACAATCTGTGGCTGTGTTGTTCCATAGCCACTTACTGAAAGCCTATCTTTTCACCTTTGTCCAAAATTATTTGGGGATGTTCATGAAGATCTATTTCAGCTTCCTTGAGCTATATATCTTCCCACTAGTAGCATACAATCCTTATTACTGTAGCTAAGTTATGGAAATGGATAGATTGATTTCATCTGTTCTTGTTTTTTTTCCCTTAATTGCTTTTATTTATTTCCTCTTCCCCTCTCTTGTCTTCCCTCCCCCTTTCTAGTCCTATGATTGAGCTCAGAGGCTTTAAATAGGCCAAACAAGTTTTCTACCACTGAGCTATATCTGTAAGCCTCCTTTCTTTTAAAAAATTGTGTAGCTCTTCTAGTAGTTTTTTCTCTTTATAGGTAAATTTAGAATAATCTCATCTGTATTTACAAAATATCTTGCTGGGATTTGTATATTTATTTTGGAAACTTCTATCTCAATTTGGATAAAATTGACTTTTTTTTTTTTTTGGTCGGTTGTGGGGCTTGAACTCTGAGCCTGGGCGCTGTCCCTCAGCTCTTCAGCTCAAGGCGAGCGCTCCACCACTTGAGCTACAGCGCCACTTCCGGTTTTCTGGTGGTTTTATTGGAGATAGGAGTCTCACGGTCTCTCCTGCCCGGGCTGGCTTTGAACCTCGATCCTC